TCATTCCGAGTTCCATGTAGAGTTTCAGATTCCTAACATGTAGAACGTAATTCTTCCTGGGACCTAAGGAGTTTACCAGTTTCCGCACACCTCCAATTGTCAGCTGGAATTTATCGGCAATATCCTTAGCATAGTCCGATAACATTGACACATCGATCTCCTTACTTTCTGGAGCTAGAGGATAACCATTATGTATATCATGAAGTTCTTCTGGATATTCCATATCAACCTCAAGAACCATACCCCTTCCACTGTCTCCTAAGTAGTCATCAATATTTATTTTATCAACTTCCTCGATCCACTCAAACTCTCCATTTGGAAGAGGTTGAGACATTGCCCAGCCATATAAATTGTTGGCGTCGAGGTACATAAGGAACTTGTTTTCAGCTTCTTCGTCATACGTTTCCATATACTTATTATTCGCCGTAGAGTGTCTATGAGCAATATGACTTACCCCACCTCTCATTCCCTTCTCAAAGAACTGAAACATGTCCATATCACTTACCAATTCTATTTCCTCACCTGACTGTTTTAAGAACGCGTCCCAACTTAGACTAGGAGCTGAGATGTAATGAGCAGGGTCAAGCTTGTAATTTTCCAGGCAAGTCTTCCTGAAATTCTCAAAGACATCCGCTAGAAGAAGAACGTCAGTCTCTAGATAAAGATCGTGGTAGTCCATCATCGTTTTCATTCCGAAGTGATCCCAAACTTTTAAAGCTCTTTGGTAATCTTCTTCTTTCACCTTAGACTCATATAGAGACGAGTAGAATTCATCTCTACTTGGAAGTCCCTCAGTGTCAAGTTTACTAATGTCATCTAAGTACTCATAGGGAAATATTCCTTTTTGTCGTACTAGATCAAAGTCTTCTCCCTGCCACCTCTTACCGACTATCTTGAAGTCTTCAGGTGAAAGGTTATTTACAAGTGCCTCTAGAGAAGAAGCCATGAATTGGATGGAATCAATGAACACTAGACTTTTACCAAGTGAGAATGAAATGTATTTTTCCATGTTATTTGGAACAACGTTAATGTTCATCTTGAACTTGCCAATCTCCTGCATTATCAGATGACTATCATAACCTCTTAGATTATGGAAGACCACTGGAAGTTTCCATGTAATTCTATATTTCAAGTTACACATATTATGAGCAGCTCCGCGGTAAAGTCCAGTTACATGATCATGGTCCCTGACTCTATCATCACCTAAGTCACAGCCGCAGATGGAGCAGTTTCTTGTCATCCAGAACTCAGCTTCTTGTTCAGGTGTGATTACCATCTTTTTCTTGAAGATTTTGTTCACCATTTCCCGGCACCTGATAGACTCCTTCAGAACTGTCTTCAGAAAGACCTCTGTAGCGTCTGCACCAACGTAACTCGTATATTCGCCTGAGTACTGATCATCATAGTGACACACTGTCTTCAACCCAAAACTGCAAGCTTTATGTGTCTGGTAAAGCTCAGTTGAACTCTTCTCCTCAGGGTCTTCAGATTCCACTTTCCTTTCCTCAGGAACAAGCATAGATTCAAAGTCAGCATAGATTACAAATGGAGCAGGCATTGAATTTCTATAATGACCGAACTTTATTTTTGAACCAGCATTGGGAAGCTTCGTGGCCTGAGTTCCATTTACACTAACACATGTCTCACTATGTTTCTTCAGTGTTTCTTCACTAGTGCAACTGTGAAGGCAATACAAGCAGAAGTGCTTCTTGTTCGAGTTACAGCTAACACTGAAGAGCATTCTATTTACATCCTTTATTAGGACATAATGATTACCACCTTCATTATCACCAAGGAGCAGCAGCTCCATATGTTCGTCATATTTGGTCTTTGAGTTCCTGATTGGGTAGAACTGCTTTTTGCCCTTATAACCGAATACAGATATACTTATTGAATTTCTTCTTTCAATTTTATCAATATCGCTTATCTTTACAGGGAAGTCAATACCCTCATAGTCTAGGTTCTCCGCGAACTCCCTATCTTGCTTTGTTATGGTAGTTGCCCTCCTAGCCTTTGGCCTTAAATGTCTCACATGACTCCACATAAAGCATTTCTCATCCATGTTTTGCATATTAATTAAGCCGCATTTTGGATTACTAATGTCTGCGGGTAACTTCATATATGAACTACCCTTGAGAGGTTTGTACATTGCAATATTAACATAATGACTCTCAATGTTCAGAATAATCCAATTTGAACCTAAGTTCTGGAAAGTTTCAATTCTGGATAAGATAGTCAGTTGGTTCTGAGCTGCAGTGCTTTCGATATCCTCAAAGTTTGTTGCAGTTCCAGTTTTCGACTTAAAGTACACTGAATCCTTCTTTGTTTTATCATTTCCGATTTCCTTTGACATTCTCACCTTAATTGTCTCCGTATATTTTAGACCTCCCATTCTCTTCAACTCGTTCACTAGAATTCCCCTCACAACCTGCCTACTCGCTGTCATCTGGTCTAAGGGATCCATAAAGTTTGGAGTTATTGAGTAAGTCACCGCTGCACCATTTGCGGCAGTTTCTATCTTTCTATAAGAAGGCTTCTCAAGATATGTTCCAAATGGATCAATCTCATGTTCCTTTGGTGTGACCACTGCGGGCTGTTCCTTAACTTCCCTCATTACCTTTACGGGCTTCCTTAACTTTGGAGGAGGCACTGGCTTTCTGGTTCTAGGCTTAGGAACAGGTCTCTCTCTAGGGAACACTGTCCTTGGCTTAGGAACAGGTCTTTCTTCAGGGAACACTGTCCTAGGCTTAGGAACTGGCCTCCATGGAGCTACACCTTTCGGCTCCTCAGGAGCTTTCCTTGTTGGTCTCTTGCTTAGATCCACAGTCACCGTGTACTTATTAGGTCCCACCTGAGTTATTACACTATCTGCAGGAATCGATAGTTTTATTTTATTCTGACTCATAAACCTCTCCGCGACACTTTGCCTTTTGACCTTTGGTGGTCTTCCACGTTTCTTTGGAATCGCAACCTCAGCCTCAGACTTAACCTTTGCTGGTCTTCCACGTTTCTTTGGAATTACTACTTTGGTGTCAACCTTAGCCTTTGCTGGTCTTCCACGTTTCTTTGGGATCACAACCTTGGCATCAGATTTAGCCTTTGGTGGTCTTCCTCTAGGACGTTTTGGATTCCTAATATTCTCTAGCCTCTTCATTTCTGCATTAACTTGAGGATCATCAGTTCTCCATCTACCTCCCATTGTTGGTGGTAAACCCTCAACTCCCTGACTGAGTAGACTTTGATACGCCTCCTCGACCAGCAGAGCCTTAGCTTTCTGTCTCTCGGAATATTTCCACGTCGGCATAATTCCTCTCTCACCCTTCTCATTCAATGGTCGTCTTCTTGCTCGTATAGGGTCAGTAGAACGATCTCCTTCATCTATGAATAGTCTTTCTCCTTCAAAGGGATCTTTGCCCTTATCCTTAGGTGCAACTCGATAAAATTCGTCATTCGTTATCTTCTCCACTTCATCTTCGAAATCACTAATATCGCTATCATCAACTATCTCACTAAGTGCCATAAGTTGTTCCACGGTCATATTGTTCATGTCAAAGTTTGTCGCCATTTTTCACTCTTTCTCTATATACTATAGGTAAAAAAATAGGCCTATTTAAAGGCCTATTTAATTTTGTATTTAATTTAATATTTTTATTTAATTATTTATTTTTATTTAATTATTTATTTTTATTTAATTATTTATTTTATTTAATATTTTATTTAATTTTATAATTAATATTTTATTTAATTTTATAATATATTATTTAATTTCCAGTTATTATAATATTTACAATTTATAAGTTTCCATCCCAACTCGGGAAAAACCTTTCCATATAGTCTGTCCTCAAGGATGTTCACAATTCTTTGAGTCTTAATGTCCTCAGGTGGGTTTCTCAACATGATGTTGTTCATGCTGGCTAACCTAAGTAGGTAAAACTTATATCTAACTATGTTGCGCCCCCGTTGCAGTCTAAGTCTTTGTATACATCTTACGATGCTTCTAAACTGCTCCCGTATGGTATCCCTATCCCCTGAAGCGATATGCTCTAATAAGTGTCTCTCAAACCAACGGACTCTATTGTGGGACGATTTCTTTTTCAAGTAGTCGTCCTTGTTGTGGTTGTAACTAACATAGTATGTAAAGCCATTCCTATCACTTGTGCCGCATTGTGTGCATACATCTGCTCCATCTATTATTACAATAGACTTACTACCACATTCACTGCATACTGGCTCGTATGTGTGTTTGACCTTCATTTTATTTCTCACGTATTTCATTACTGCAGCCTCTAGCTCCTCAATGGTGTTCGCCTTCTTACCGACTCGTTCCATTTCGTTAGGTGTTACCAGTGTCAGCCAGTCCATTCCCTATACTATATGTGTTAAAATTTTCCGCTTGTTTTTGTGGTTTATTTTTACGCCTCCTTATTATTCTCCATTCCACATATTTTTTGACTGCAGCCTCCAGTTCTTCTATGGTGTTCACCCTTTTTCCCAGGGCTACCACTTCGTCAACGTCTACCATTGCAAGCCAATCCATTTCTCTATAATATATATGTAAAAATTTATTGTGGTATTTTTATAGCAATAAATAAGCTGCCCCTCCAACCACCCCACCTATAATTAAACCAAAAATTGCCATATATTCTTCCATCTCAGAGCTAGGTTTGTAGTGATTACTCAATTGCAGTCTTCTCGGCATGGCTTTATGTGTTAACTCATTGATTCTTCTAACGAGTTCCAGTGACTTATTTGTTGCATTAATATCCCTATTTGCCTCAGCTAATTCTGACTTCAGTTGGGCAAGTCTGTTTCTCCTGTCAGTGACCTCTTCAAGGTACTTCTCTCTTTCAGCTGTTAGGTTCTCCATCGCAATGTTATGTCTGTGGGCTTCCTCAGCATATCCATTCTTATCGAACATCTTAAATAGGTATCCTGCTCCTGCAAATGCAAATGCGTTAAAGAGTCCTCCTGCTACTGCTGACGCCATTATATAGTTTTACCTAGGTTTTAAATGGATCATCTGGTAGGTACTTCTTATCTTTCAGGTAAGATACTAGTAGGGATGAAAGGCTAACTGAGACAGCTAGCTTTGCCATTCCTTTTACATTCTCTGGGGTTCCTAACGGTTCTTTCAATAGTTTTTTCGATGCCATTGATATACCGACTGCTCCTGCTGTAAGTAACACTGCGTTGTACACTTCCGCGGTCATCTTTGATTCTTTACTCATCTTGCTATAATATATATTATGTTTAACGTATCATTCAAGTGAATCTAACCTGGACTCATCAGCTTTCCTGGTTACTTCTACAGTTTCAGGGATGTACTTAGGTTCTGGTTTCTTTGTTTCCCTCTGATGCTGATTAAATGCTAGAGCAAGGGATACCAATGCGATGACCACTCCTACATATGCGATCATGTTATTGCTGGATGGCTCCTCAGGTTCTGCAAGTTTCTTTTTCCTCTCCTTTGCTATTTTACTGATTGCGGCTAATCGTTTTCCTGTAGCTACTCTTTTTGGGTCTTTCTTCTTTTCACTTGTTACTGCTTGAGTTTGCTCAGGTTTATCTTCCATTCTACTTGTAAGATACCTTAGGTTTAACTGGGTTTTATCTTGTGAGACATCTAGAGTCTACTTGTGAGATAACTTAAATTTGCTTGTGAGATGTCTCAAATCTACTGGTGAGATAACTTAAATCTACTGGTGAGATAACTGGTGAGATAACTTAAATCTGCTGGTGAGGTATCTCAAATCTACTGGTGAGATGACCTGACTAGCAGTAACTACGTTACTGGACGCTGCTAGCGCAGCTAGTACTTACCTGAACTGAACCTAGGTCTGTACAACCTTACAGCGCACTGTGTGTTGTTCACCGTGACCTTCTTTGCGACCTTCTTAAGTGAAAAGTATTCGTTGATTCTAATGCAAGTTTTTACAAGGTCATCTGACACCATCACCATGTAACCTATCTTCATAAGTTTGTGGAACCATAACACTTGCTTTTCACTTGCGACTCCGGTGCCTTTGGGAGACTTGAATTCAATTGCAAATCCTTTATACTTCCCCATAGGATTCTCTATAATAATATCTGGCTGACCACCTCCGTATCCCTTCTTCCAGGCATCACATCTCTTAGATGATGTGTCCTGATACTCACCTAGACCGGGTATTACCACAGCCTCTGGGTAGTTGTCCCTGATGTAACTCACGACTGTGTGGTGGAGGTCTGTTTCATTTAATAGGATCATTTGGTTGTATCTAAGTGACCTTCTATCTGGTAAACTGTATGTGCCAGTTTTTCGTATAGATGGGAGTACTTCCCTGAATACCCAGGCCTGGAAGTCCTCAGCTATTGGAAGTTTGGATTTGAAAGTAAGCTGGTACACTCCTGATTCATATAAAAGAACCGTATGTTGTTGACGGTTTTCCGGGTGAACGAAACGTTCACCCCTAGTTTTCCGGGTGAACGTTTCGTTCACCCCTTTGGCTTTTCCCAGTAATACTTTATTTAATCCCCATACATGATCCCTGACGGCCTTCTGTGGGTTTAAGTACCCTAGGGATTCCGCCACATCCTTTGCGTAGAATAATACCTCCCCATCTCTTTCAATAGTTCTCACACTAACGTTAAGATCTCGGTTTCTGAAGAGTTTTTCCATCTTTCTCTATACTATATATGTAAAAATTTTTGGACCTATTTTATGGCTATTTTATTAGTAGTAATTACAATCCGCTGTAATACCCACCTTCCAATTAACAATAATGGTTTCAGTATGACCTTTCTCAAAGGGGTGCCCTCGAGGGTACCCCTTTGCTTTACCTATGAAGTAGTACTCCCTCTTCCCACCCGACTACTCCCCATCCACATTTTTCCCTAGTTTAAAAAATTACATTTCATTCAGTTTTCTATATATCTTTACGACTGTTTTAACCATATCATCTTTAAATGCTTTGTATTCATACTCAAGTGGTCCTATGATTTTATTTTTAAGGTTGTATAGATCCTTCTCTATAGAGAACAATGTTGCTGAGTTCTTTTTAAGTAAGCTTTCTGTTGAATCAAGTGCTGCCTGAATTTCATCTAACTGCTTTTTATTCGCGTCTGTCTTCTCAATCAACTCATTAATTATGTCTTCAAATTCAGTTCCTTCCCAGGCGTTTCCCCAATCGTATGGCTCTCCGAGTTGAGACATTCTTCTTCACTATGTAATAGAATATGTTTTGCTTCCTCAGATATTTCCTCAGTCTTTTCTTTCTTATTCCACTTATAAGCAACCACGTGCTTTGCTGTTGTGCATCCACCTGATATGAGACCTATGAATGGAATGTTTGGGGATATCATTCTAGTTAAATAACATACGTCATCCTTCAAAAGCTTATCACTAAGTAGTTCCTCTGACAGCTTCTCAGAAGATTCCACCGCATTAAAACTTCCCAGTATGGAAGCGAACTTTGAGATAATAAGCGTTGATAAGAAGTCACTTGCGCATGACATCCTCTGACTTTCATACTCACTGTAAAGTCTATCCACAACATCCTTGTTGGACTTTCTTATAAAACTTGCGGACTTCTCTATTACACCATCCCTAGATAGCTCTATAAGCTTGTCTCTTTTGCTTTCAGTTTGCGACTTATCTGCGGCTGACTTAGTTTTTCTTGCGGTAGACTTAGCTTTCTTTTGCGGTGTCTTTGCGGCCTCTTCTACTTCCCTCACAGCTGCAGATATTTCTTCATCAGATTCAGATCCCATCTTTTATATCCTACGTGATGTTTTGTTTGATAGTGTATGTGTAAGGGTGAATAAGTAGTATATCTAGTGCGGTGAACTTCTTATCTTTTAGTATTTTCGTAATCTCTGTAATTGTCTCCTGAGGAACACCACTTAGGTAATCATCTGTTATCACCTTCATATCCCTACGACTAGGGTTGTAAAATGTAACTAACCTGGAAATGTTCTCCCTGAATGGTTTTGCAATTGATGATAATTGTTGGGTAATTACAATAACTGATAGGTTGTAATGTCTTGCGGAGAATGCTAGGCGCACCAGTTCTGAGACCCTTTTCTTTACATCCTGACCTGCAGCACAGTCATCAATGATGATTAGCGTTTAAGTTCCACGAAATATGGTGGACACTGCCTTGAGAATAAGATTGATCATTTCTTGTGAACATGGAATTTGTATGACTCCACGATCACTAATATGAGCCCAATTAATGTAAGTCATATTCCATTCTATTGTTGGACATATAATCACAATGTAATCGAAAACTTTATTGTACTCTATTTCTAACATATTAAGTAAGAACTGAGTCTTACCACTTCCAGTCATTCCTACTATGAGCATGTTGAATGGTGGTTCAAGTTGCATCTCTATGCTTTACCGTTGGTGCAAGCTAGTATTGAATACTAGACAGATCTCTATTGGCAAAGTTAAGGAGGGCATCTGATACAACAAAAATGTTGCACTAAACGTCAGCTGTTGTGGCTCTCTTTTTAATTTCCATAAGTACTCCAGACTGTGTGTTAACAATCTTTCTACCTCCTCCAGTGGTGTCATCCTGTGTTGACCTTAGATCTACTACTAAAGCGAAACCGGTGCTGAAGAACTTGCTGATGGACATAAATTCGTCTGCCATAGATTTCTCACACATAGGACAAAAGAATCTTTTTGCCTCTTCAAAGAACCTACTTTTAGGAAGCCCTTGGGAGAAGACCGCATTAGGTACACCTTCAATGGTTAGGTTCACTTTATCAATGTTTGGGTAAATATATTCTTCAGAATTGGTTCTCGCTCTACTGGTAAATAGAAGGACAATCGCTGACATGCTTTTTCTGGGGATATTTATGTTTTCATTGACAATGGTAAGATCTTTGTCCCCAATTACTTGTGCGCATAAGTGTGACATGTTTGTAGGACAGTGAGCGGCCAGTTGAATACATCCTTGATACTTCACCTGCAAGGGCGTCATTCTCAATGGTCTCATATTCTAACTCAAGATTATCAAGTTTATAATTACTCTTAGCTTCACCTCCTTGGGCAGTCATAATCTCATCTGATCCGGGTAGTGTGAGGATGTACATAGGATTGTTATTCATATAGAACGGAGTGTAGAGTCCGTGGTCTGCAATTATTTTATCAATTGGTTTTCTAAGTTTGGAGCCGTATACACTATGAAGAAGTCCATCTGCTACTTTACTTGCATCACCAACCTTTACACCTGAGTCATCACCTGATATTAGCTTCCTAAGATTCTCACTTGCGAGACCCTCTTCTGTCATCTTATTTCTGTCACCTAGTGTTAGCCATAGATCTTTATAAATTTCATACAAACTCTCTCCTGAACAGTCATAAGCTGTTTCACCGGCTACTTTAACTTGAAGACGTTTAGCTATCAACTTAGACAGGTTATTATTAAAGTGGCTTTTTGTATTGGAATTCTTGAAGTCGAATAATAGTGCAAGTGATCCTGGAACAAGGCAGGAGTCAGGTTTTAGCTTAGGGATGTTAATATATAGCTCTTCACCCGGGCTGATAGTTGTTGGATTAAATGTTACGACACTTCTAGTTCTGGGACCTTTTACAGATGTCATGCGGCTCCTTCTGAAGCCAGGCTGGAGTTCTCTTTCTGTGGTATTCATACTTTATACAATATGTAATGTTTAGTTATATTCATACAGTAGAACTGCTGCTGCACATATAATGATTATCCATATATTATCCGCTGCTAACTCTACTCCATCGGCTATCTTCTGAAATACAGGTGGGAGTTGCACTTGGTTGTTTGATAGTTGATTTATTTTTTTATCTAGCTTTTCAGTTTCATCGGCTACTTTCCACAGTATATTTCTAGTTGATGCTACCAGTCCAATGATAATTGCTGATGAGGAAATTATCAGGGCTGATAAGACGCCTGCATTCTCCTTTACCCATAACTTGAGCCTCTGCAGTCTCCTGATGTCATCCCGTTTAATGAGACTCCTTTTGTTCACCTTATCTCTTAAATTGAGAAGTTTGTTTAAGTTCGACTCTCTTTGGTAGGTGTTTGATAGCATTCTGATGTATCTTAATTCTTCCGACTTTTCTTTGAAGCTTTCTTCATCTAAATTGGATAATAGTAATTCATTCAATAGTTTATCTCCCCTATCCATTAAATCGTCATATGAGAGTTTGGTTAGGTCGGGGAATTTATCAGCCAGCTCCTCTCTATTTAGACCTCTCAGCATCTTTCTTCTCCATAGCTCCTGCACGTAGTTGATTTCCTCGTTGATATCCTGGGTCTCCTCAGTAGTCTCACTTTCCTCGAGATTCCTATTGAGAAATGATAGTTCGTCGTCTATGGTGTCTATATCCATCTCTTCATAGTTTGGATACTTTTCCTTCAACTCCTCCATTTTCTGGTCATCGTATTCCTCCTGGTGTTCCTCCATAGCTAATTTACTTTGTGTAATACCAGCTACGCTAGTAGATGGCTACGCAGGCTGCGCCAAGTAGTTATATATAATTAGGGTAGCTGCTACAACTAGTACCCATAAGTGTGACGCTAACCAGGCAATTCCTTTGGCTCCCCATGATAGCGCTGTTGCAACTGCGTTCAGGATTGGAACTAGAATTGGTCCTGCTTTCTTTGCTAAATTTGCTAATGCTTTTGCTACTTTACCAGTGGCTTTTGCTGTATTCACAATGGCTCCCCTAGCATGGATTAATAAGGCTGTAATTAAACTAGCTGTTGACACTGCTATCCCTACAAGTCCCACCTTTTCCTCCCCTAACCATTTCACAAACTTGCGTAATCTAGAAATATCTTCCAACTGTGCCTCTCTTGCTTCCTCTATTGTTCTCTGCTCTAGTGTCCTATCCCTGGCTTCCTTCAAACTGTCAATTCTTTCTAGGAGGGAATTATACTCAGTTGTACCTTCCGCAGAGGTGGCACGTTCCACGGTTTCACCAATAGCTTCATTAAAGTAGTCAGCCTGAATTTGTAACGCTCCACCGGGACCTGTTCTGCCTTCTATACTTGATCCATCAGGTGGGTTAAGAACACCTCTCAGTTCATTGTTTTCTTGTATTGTTAGCCCTGGAAGGTCTCCTAGTTGTGCACTTATATCTATTAACTCAATGTTCTCACGGTCAGCGTATTCTTCGTCACTGCCATCAAATTGCGGCTCTTCTTTAGTATCCTCGTAAATTGATTCATCACTTCCAATTATATCGTCAGGATTCGTAGGTACCTCTTTTATTTTCTTTAGAAGGTCCTTGTATTCTCTTAATGCAGTGAAGGTCTTTGAGTACACGAGTTTACTGGTCTTACCACGTTTCATTATTTGTGTTCCACTTTTGTCAATACCTTGTTCACTTCTAAATACCAACACCTCTTTGCCATCGTTGAGTGTTCTTACAGATGATCGTTTTATGAGTTCCCTAACGTATTTATTCCTAGGGTCTAGTATTAGTCCCTCCTTACCTTTAATAACTCTTGCGACAGCTTGAACACGCTCTACTTGGTTTTCGAAATCTCTCTTTTTATTTGCTGTAAGTCGGTCTTCTGAGAACTTTTTCAGTTTCTCTAGGCGGGCTTCTATTTCGTCCCAGTCAGCGTCAAATGATTCATTGAATGCATCTAGCACATCTGGAAGTACATTGTTTGGGTCTTCCACGAAGTTGACTTCTGGGACAGTTGTGCTTCCTGATGGACCTGAAATGTTCACTGTACCATCATTTCCTTCGGTGAAAGTTGTTTCTTCTATTTCACGTCTCTCCATGAGATCCTTTACATAGTCCAGTTCACTTTTAAGATCGGTTATCACTATAGGATCACTACCATACATAGCCTCATCCTTCACCCTTGTATCTAACCTACTAAAAGCTGTCGTTAGGTCATCATAATTAAGGTCATCATATTGAGGATACGTCTTTTCTGTCTCCTCCAACTCAATGTCATCATAGTCCTCCATAATACTTTAACTTATGTTAGGGACTTGATGTCTCCAGCTGGTATCCAACTGTTAAATTTGTCATCGTAACCTAACCACTTAACTAGGGCCATCTTTTTACCCTTCACTGTTCTTCTTCTTAGCACTTTCTCTATCTTAAAATCAGGTTCCCTTCCTTCAGCGCTATACAGTTCTTGTTCATAAAATCTGCCAATTATCGGTTCATCAGCACTGTCTTTTATTGTGTATGTGTTTGGGTGTCCGTGATACACTTCCGTCACAGTGAACAATTCCTCTGTGAAATTTGCTTCATATCCTTTTGTGAACACTGATTTGTACTTTGAAATTCTAACACTTTCTCCGACAGCAAACTTTGGTTCTGATGGCTTGCCTAAATTGTGACTAAAAAGTGTCTTCCATACTTCAGTCCAGTTGGAATCATTTACACTGTCCGGTGTTGTTTTAATTGATCTATTCACTGAACTGTTGTAATTATCAGTTAAGTCTTGAAGGACGTCTAACCATTTATATGTACTGGCACTGTAAAAGTACTTCCACATTAGCGCTTTCAGTGTTCTGTTAAATCTTTCCACAACTGCGGCCTTTTTATCTGAGTAAGTAGAGAAAAATTCAATGTTATGTTTATTAAGCAATGATTTTACATCCTTGTTGTAGAACTCTGTGCCTTGATCAAACTGGGCGAATTCTGGGTATTTACCAAAGTGATTATTAAATTGCTCTAAAATGTTACTAACTGCGTCCTTCATTGATGCCGCGTTTTTCCTATACACTGGTACTATGAATGCGTACCTACTCAGTATTTTGATTGATGTAAGAATCCATCGGTATCCCTTATTCTTATCGGCATATTTTGTCATGTCAACTAAATCCATTTGTAACTGTTCACCTAAAGTTTGAACGTACGTCTGTCTGAACTTATGTTTCCTGAATACTTGTCTGTACCTAGTGTATGTGTCTTGCTCGTTTATCCATTTCTTGACCTGGTTTCTGGTTACTTCAAGTCCGTCTGATATTGCTCTAAAATATAGTTTCTCTGGTGTCTGGAATCCAGTCTTAGGATTGTAGTAAATATCTCGTAGTCCTTGTTCTTTCATAATATCATCGTCCATCTTATATTAACTAATGTAAGCCATCTACCGACTACGTTAGTAGACGCCAATAACTTAGTTATTGCTCAAGGTACATCTCAAGTAGCACTTCACCTATATCAATAGGTTTCCCGTCTTGATCTGTCATGTGGAATATAAGTTCTGAGAAAGAACCCTTGATAACTGAAATCCTACTTTCAACATCAATGTAACTAACTACTGAGCCTAATAATGGTCTGTCAGTTGGGATTGTAACACTTGTTATTACATCGCTGGGTCTTCCCCAAGGGTTAACGTTAAAACTGTTACTTACTAGGTTGCAGTGTATATTTACGTATCGTAGACCATTATTAAAGTCAACTTTGCTATCACTTGTCAAACTCCTCCCTTTTAGTAGAATCATAGGATTATTAAATCTATTAAAACCTAACATAGTCAGTAATCGTGTTTCTACGGTAATATCCTGTTTTATAGCCTCTATTTGGCAGGATGCTGTTTCAGCAAAGTAGGTTAGTTTAACACCGTGTCTCTCAAGTAATTTTCTCATACTGTCAAATGTATAGTAGCCCTTGCTGACAATCACGTCAGTTTCACCACCAGCTGTTTTAACCTTGAGAATAGTTGTTGGTTCTCTTATATTGAAATATTCCCAGAAAACTGAAACTCTCTTCACAAAGACTGAATTATAATTGCTTGTTAAAACTGAATTCTGTAGTGATATAATAGTGTGCGAGCTCTGGAGTGAAATTGTGAACTTCATCTTAATAACATACGTTAGGTTATTAAGAATGAGACTAGGTGGAGGAGACGTTGGGAAGTCACCATATAGGTCTTACCAAGACTACGAAAAAAAGTATGGAAAGGAAGATGAAAATAATGTTGATCCTATTGCTGGTAAAAAAGCTGAGAATGCTGAAAGGGCTAGATTTGTTAGAAGGTATCCTAAGGCTGATATGAATAGGTTTAGGTTTGAAGCTATGACTACCAGTAGTGGTGATATAGGAGTTGTCACTTGGTTTGTGGATTTAGATGGTATATCTTCATATGACATTAGATATGACGGTTTTAAGAAGGATAAGGAGTTTACATATTATCTCACAGGTACTAAGAAAATTATTATTCCCGCTCAGTTTGTTCCCATGACTGATACAAAGGTTACAAAAAGTGAGATTCTAGGTTTAGTTGACGGTTGGCCTCTAAAGTGGAGGTTGGGTTCTAGTGTAAAAGCTAAGTTAAACAACAACGATACATTTGATAGGTTCAGCTGGTTTCCTAGGATTGGGTGGAACACTCCTGCACATTCATTCAAGGTTTATGTGGATGGTAAAAGCTTCTTTGTAACTTCCGGGGAGGCCGGCGGAAATATGCTTCCTAAAATTGAAGACAGTATTAAGATTGATGGTGTAAGTACAGTGTTCGACTATAAGAAACCCTACTTTGCAGCTCTTTGCGGCGCATATATCGCAACATATCTATGTGGAATCACAAGTGGTCATCTTACTCCTAGTAATGATACTTACCCTGTGATAACAAGTATAATGAACTTCCACCTTTACTACTGCATCAGGAAGTATGTGTACAAACCTGAAAGATTAATTCCCTATATGGATATGCTGGATTCTATTAAAAAGCATATACCTGTTAAGGGTAAGTGGGTAAAGAAAAGTGATTATTATGATGTTGTATACGATTATGGACTCAAATGGGAAAAAAGTAACTGGATAAAGGGTAGGGGTGATGGTAGCAATCCTGTAAGAAATGTAACCAATTCTTCAGTTATGACTGTTAATGGGTTTCTAAAAGGAATTCGTGTACACTATGAGGAAAGAGTATCTGTTGCACTCGTTAGTAAGTCTGATTATTTAAGGTTTGTTAGTACTCAGACTGATCCATATTTTGGACTTACAAAAACTGGCTTACTTCTATTAGGGGAATCAATTGAAGCTTACGTTTACTCTGTGTTAGGTGCACAGGCAGCTACCAGATCACCTATCACTGGAAGCTATGGAAAGTCATCTGCTACCCAGGTTAAGTTCAGCGCACTGGTAAATGATTGCGTTATTCAAGCTGATCCTGTTGTAACTCTAGGTAATATGAGAATTGCTATTAGAGACACAAATGTTGTACTTAACACAGCCGTCACCCCTGGAACTGTTCTGATTCCGTCAAGTCTCATAATTCTAAGTAAGCCTATACCTGGGTACAACAATATTCTAAAAAACGCAACAAAGGATATGAAAAGAGGAGTTAATACCGAACTCAATTATGTTGGGGTTAAGAAGGCTAATCCCCCAAAGAAACAGCATCAAGACAATACACCAGTTCACCACCTTGATACTATTGATGGAAATAAAAAGGTTCCGGGAGGTCCTACAAGTGCTAGACCTCAGGAAGGTTCTACAAGTGCCGAGACTCAAGTTGTTCCTATCATGAAACATGATGTGGTTAGTACCCATGAGTCTTCAGGAGTTAGCGCTATCACTGGAGCTGGGATTGGTGCTATAGTTGTATTTATTCTAATGAAAATTATCTTGTAAACATTATGTATGTTATAAAATGGCTCTCTATAGGGGATACAATAAAGGAGTAAATAAAGTTGATCCATCAAGTGGTAGTGTGTTTGATAAGGACGGATTTACCATGAAGGGTGACATTGAGATGGATGGTAATGAGGTAAAAGGTCTGGGTGCACCTACAGATGATACTTCTGCGACCACAAGAAAGTGGGTGGATGATGAGATCGTTAAACAGGCTGCCCTTACAATTCAACCTGCAGGGTTTACAATGACTGGGGATATTAACATGGGAGGTAATAAGATAATTAATCTTGATAATCCTACTAACCCAGGTGACGCTGCCAGTAAGAGCTGGGTTGAGGGTAGTCGTGCTAGTCTACCTGGACTTATCCTTACAAATGACCTCAATATGTCAACAAATGAGATAAAGGCTCTAGGTGATCCTACAACTGGAAAGTCTGCTGTTAGTAAGGATTGGGTAGTTGGAATGCTAAATAGGCCTGTATCTGGACTTAATATTGCTAGTGATATCGATATGAAGGACCATGAGATTAAGAATCTTAAGGATCCCTCTGAGGACCAGTCTGCTGTCACAAAAAAGTGGGCTGTTGATAATAACTTTAGACTAAAAGGTGGAATTATGCAAGCAGATGTGTCCATGGGAGGTTGGAGATTGTTTGATCTTATTGAGCCTAAAATTGATAGTGAGGTTACATCAAAAAAGTGGGTTGAAGATAAAATATCTACACTTCTTGGTCCCTCCGGTTTTAAAATGTCAGGAGCAATTAATATGGACGGAAATAGGATAAGAAATGTTTCGGTTCCTAGGAGTGGAGGGGATCCTGTTAACCTTGATACTCTAACATTAAATTTAAATTCTTTTAGAAATAAAAGTGATAATGATTACCTCAAAAGGAATGGTGGCTCCATGACTGGAAATATGAATACAAATAACTTTCAAATCTATTCTAACGCTGTCCCTGACAGAGACTCCTCCCTTGTGGCTAAAAAGTGGGTGGAAGATAAGATTAGCGGTGGTAGAAGTAAGCGTGAGACTTACAGTGGACTTACACTTTCTGACGACCTTGATATGGGAAACAATGAGATTGTAAAGTTAGGTGCTCCTACAACTGATAATTCTGCTGTGTCTAAAAAATGGGTCACGGATCATGTCAGTGGGAGTTCTGTAAGTAGTAGTGGCTTTACTATGGGCGGTAATATTGATATGGGAGGAAACGAAATTGAAAATGTTGGGGATCCTACTAGTGATCAATCTGTGGTTACAAAAAGCTGGTTTAATTTAAATGAAGGAACATTTCTACGGTTAGACGGAACAGGATCTTTAAATGTTGGTGGCACTATTAATTTTAGCAATGCACCTAACTGTAACTCCGACCCTGGAAACTCAAATAGCCTTGTAAGGTTGCAGTATCTTAAAACGTACACAACAAACTTATTAAAACTTAGCGGTTTGCGAGCAATGACAGGTGGTCTTAGAATGGGTGGAAATGAAATAATAAATATTGGTGCTCCTACAACTGATAATTCTGCCGTGTCTAAGAAATGGGTCACGGATCATGTCAGTGGAAGTTCTGCAAGTAGTAGTGGCTTTACTATGAGCGGTAATATTGAGATGGCTGGTAATACTATTACGGGGCTAAATAGTGGGTCAAGAGGAGGTTCTAGTGCTGTTTCTTATGGATCTATGACTTCCTGGTGCTCACAGTTTCTTAAGCGTGATGGTGGTGTTCTAGCTAGCAATTTAGATGTTAACGATTACGAGTTAACTAGGGTTGGAACTCCCACGACGGACGGTTCAGCTGTTAATAAGAAGTGGGCGACTGATGAGTTCATGAGTAGTAGAGGTGGGTTGGTAAAGAGTGATTTGGATATGGGAGACTCAAGTGGAATTCTTGATCTAAAGGATCCTGTAAATAATAAGGATGCTGTTAACAAACAGTGGGTAGAAAAGAATTTCCTAAAACCTTCAACTGGTCTTACTCAAGCAACGGCTGACTTAAGATATGTAAGAATACGGCGACATATACATGTAGAATGGATTTGGGGTTATCGTGGTGTTTCAGTTGCAGCAACAAGGTACTACGCTTACTGTCACGATCAGATTCCACCTTCATGGAGAACAGATCCTATTAATAATATGGCAGACCTGAACCTTGAATCAATAACTATAAAAACAGACTACCCACGTTTTTCAACTATTCAAAATATACCTATAGGACTCATTCTATGGGCTACCATTTGGGAAAAGCAATCTAATGGAAAATTTGCTAAGGTTAAGAAGGAGATTGTTCTTGCCACGGTTGACTTAACAAGACTGCAGTACACTTGGTTCAACGGAACTTACACAACTACCGCTGGAAGTACAGCTTGCTACGTTTTCAAGGGTAATAGTATGTTCTATTTAGGAGCCCAGGCTGAGCTGGTAGATAATACGCTAGCCTGGTGTGTGATAGTTAAACCTGAACACTCAATGCCCACTGGTACTAGCATGGATATGTCATTTTGCTGGTCACTCCGATATTCGGGGTCGGGTAGTTAACATGTGGTTTATCATAAGATAAGATGTCAAGGTGGAGGTCATGCTTCTCCTGCTTAGGTAAGATTTGTGGTTGTCGTAAGAGTTCTAGTAGAACTGGGAAGTCTGGTGATATAAATTTCTCTGTATCAAATAATATTAACATTGGAGTGAGCACACAGAATAAAAAGGATGATTTAGACTTTACACCAAAATCTGAAAGTTACGGTCACCTAGAAATGCTTGAGGAAAAATCAGATGTTAAATAATTCTGAAAAATAATAGATAAAAAATGGTCTAGAAAAATGAGGTAAAAAAGACCAAGAAAAAAAGGTCTAGAAAAATATGAGCCCGCGTTTCTGGGGGAAAATATGGAAACCGCTGACCGGAAGTTGGGTGAGATCGCGGGCCGAAAAAGTGGTCTAGAACCCTCATTCCCTATACTACTTCCATATAAACACTAGGCGAGTATCCTGTCTTGGCAGGATGAAAACGTCCCGTCCCATCTAGGCGGGATCATATAAACAGGCCCTAATGAATTGAAAGATTTTATAAGCGAGCAATGCTTAAAAGCAAGATAGATAAACAATGAAAGAAATGGCACTAACCGAGCCACAACTTCTCCAGAAGTGTAAAATTCCATGATACTGAATCACAGTTTGCAAGTCAATCCTTCAAAATTTAGTTAAATGTTTCCAAAACTTCAGTCAATATAGTTTTGTAGTACACCCATCTTAAGGGCTCCCTTCAGCTTTCACCTTGCCAAGACCTGTCACTAAATTATGGGTTGCTTGAATGGATATAATTCCTCAAATCATGATTTTTGAAGTTAATTTGATAGATATTTTTAATTGCATCGATTATTGGGTCATATTTTTCTGCTATTTAGCCTTAATATTGTAGACTTTTTTTAGGAAAGGAACTGCACACAAGCGCATACAATAGCAATTCTTCTTCAACTAATGGGCAACAATTTCTAAATAGCAAGGAAGCTGAATGACTGTATGGGTATGGATAGCTCTTTCATGGGCTCTGCTCAGATTGTATGTGAATGTTAAATCTGCAAGTGAATTTAACGAAGCCAGCGAACAAAATTGACAAAAATATGCACGATTTAGTTGCACATTTTAACTTGGAGTTTGGTACTATTTCAACTGTCAATTCGACCTCGAACTTTGAAAGGTTCAAACCTATCTGTCTCATGTTTGCTCACTCTATAATTTTGTATACGCAAAGGTTTTCATCATAACTTAATAACAAATTATAATTTAGGTTTTGGAAATCATTGGTTTTTTATCAGGACAACACTTTCGGACAACATTTCGACGGCCATGGCCATTTTCAACCACCAAATTAAACAGAGTATATAAATAAAATAACACCCGAAATAAAGTTTTTTGTTACTTAAATCTTATCTTTAAGTTTCTTATAATAGCTAGAAGTAACAAGAACATATAAATTTTACACAAGTAATATTTTATAAAGCAATAGTTTCAGCATACCTTCTGATGGGTCATATACGCGTAGCCATATTTGTTTACAATTACAACGTCTTACCCCCCGCGAAGCCCGCATCACGGATGGGTCCGCTCGATGTATGGTCGTTTCTACGCCCTCTCTCCTTTCGCCCTGGTCTCAGTTTAGGAAGCAAGTCCATTGTTCTAGTTTTTATATAGGGTATAAATTACTGATTATGATTATATTTTCAATAAATAAAGTTTTACTTTTACAGATTCCAATATGATAGATCTCTGGTGGCATTTGCACGCTGTGCTTGGAGCAGTATTAAATGTACATGAAGAAGTCAATGGACTTCAACAAATGGTTTGTTTGATCATAACATTGATTGTGAAGTGGAAATTGTTATAATACATTTTGTTGAGAAACTCCATTCGTCACAACACATTGCTGTGCAATCAGAACTAAACATAATCATGTATAAGAATTACAGAAAAGAAAACTTTTCTAATGCATACAGAATTTTCTATTTTTAAATACATAATATAGGTAAGTAGTAATATAGAGGCCGATCGATCCGGATTTTTGCTGTGGTGGAGGTGGTGGGGTGTGGTGGAGGAGTGAGGCGGAGGAGTGAAGAGGAATGAGGGTGCGTAATGACGTCACTCATTAACATACGTCGTAATTATATGCAATGACGTCAGGCGGGCGAGCTTAAACACGATCGGTTGAAACTTGCTGACCGCGCATTTTTTAGCGTCCCTCCACGTGCATGATACAATGGAGGGATTAATGTTGGCTTACTATGATTGGTTGTTTGATTTAACAACCGTCTGTATTAGATCGTCAAGCGTTTTGTAATAGACATAGTTCTGCATTTGACAACGCTTAGTTGAAGTTTGGTGAAATTTTTCGTGAAGACAATTACTTGGAAGAAAATGGCACAACAACATCGAGAGAATATTTTGTAAGTTTGATTTAAACTGAAAATTAATATAATACCAAGAGTTTTGTTTATGTAATTCATTTCTATATTTTCAGGAAAGATGAATTCATTTCCGATCTCGAGAATGTCGAACTTAATCGCCAGCTTTGCGCCGTTGCTACAGATGAAATGTTCGAGTCCTGGTCGCCAGAGACGCAAGAGCAAATTCTGTCTGAATGGGATGACTGGCATGAAGAATCGGAGAAGTCGGGGTTATGTTGTAATGATTGTGGTCGCGTATTTACGCGTTCGGACAACCTCAACCGGCATATGAAAACTAACAGTGACAAAGATCATGAGTGCTCGCGTTGTCATAAAACGTTTAATCGGAAGGTACGTAATTTACAGGGATATATCTCAAAACATAGAAAAGTACTTTGAGTTAATAATGTCTATTTATATGATTTCAAGGATGCTTTGAACCGACATATGAAGACTCACAGTGACAAAGACCACGAGTGTTCGCGTTGCCACAAAAAGTTTAATCGAATGGTGCGTAATTTACAGGGATATATTTCAAATCGTAGTAAGGTATTTCGAGTTAATAATATCTATTTATATGATTTCAAGGATGTTTTGAACCAACATATGAAAACTCACAGTGACAAAGACCATAAGTGTTCGCGTTGCCATAAAACGTTTAATCGAAAGGTACGTAATTTACAGGGATATATTTCGGAACATAGTAAAGTATTTTACGCTAATAATATCTACTTATATTATTTCAAGGATGATTTGAGCCGCCACATGAAAATGCACGAGCGCCGTGGCGCGGAACGGGGATATACTTGTAATGTATGTGGTGAAGTATTCCGAAATATATTTCCATTCCAAGCCCATCAACGCGAAGTCCACCAAGTTGGCCGTGGGAAACGTACCAAGACGCCGACCCGGCGCACGAAGTAAGACAAAGAACTGATGAACCAGGTATGTATAGCTGAAAATATTTCGATTGCTGACTTTGTATTTATACAGATATTTTTTCTCTTTTAAGAACCACCAGCATCTTCGACACGCGTTAACGAAGATAAGCATTTGTGTGTTTTCCGTTGCTATGGTTGTTAAACATCACTAATACATTTTTCTCCTTTTTAGGAGCTTCTACGTCTGCTGTCGTCAACGAAGGTATAAATCTTTATTGTTAAATTTCATGGTTTTTTCATGTCATTGTAGTACAACATTCGCTAGCATTTAGCGAGGTAAAAATAATTGAGTAATTTTTAAGCGTGGGTTCATCATGTGGAATGTTCCTAATCATTCATATTAGACTTATGTTCATTTGCTTTAGAACTATTAATTTATGTCATTGTACAAGTATTTACGCTACATCATTTTTATAACATTCGCTAGCGTTTTATAGTGAGGTAAAAGTGATTTTTTGTTGTGTGGGTTTATCATGTTGCTATGTGAAATTTGCATGTTCCTAATTTATTCATGTTAGACTTATGTCAATTTTTTATGAATCGGGGGTTTGTATGACAAAATTAGTGCGAAGTTCTAGACAAAAATAAAGAATCGGGTGTTATTTCTATAGGACCCCATCCGTTCCCTGAAGATCTCCTATTACCCCCGCCTAACCTTCCTTCCCAACTCCACCGAGATAGTTGGCGTGCTATACGTACGCGACAAAGTCGCGGTAATCGGATTCAGGATTGGTACAACTATCGTCTAAGCTCAGTACATATGGGTCAACTTGTCAACAGCATACAGCACATATTCGAAGATCAAACCACTGCCTTTAAGTTAAATCTCTCCTTTGGTTTCGTATTGTTTAATAACGAGACAAAGCAGATGCAACATCACCACCCCTCAGCAAACAACAGCCGTGTCTTCGACTCCCCGTTCCAGATTCGTAATCGTGAAGATTTAGGTCAAGTTCGTGAAGCGATGCAAAACATCGACATTCATGAATGGGCCAAACAACAACGGCCTAATTCCAAATGGATTGTCATGGATATTACCAACGCGACGTTTTATGTGACCAAACTTCGCGATCATCCAATCGGTCGCAGTACTCGTTTACCCAAATACGTGTTGGAGAATCCTGCCACTGTGTCGCTAGACTGTGATAGTAATACCAGTTTACCATACGAGGATAAACTGTGTTTCTTTCGTTGTTTGGCCCTACACCAGGGTTGTCACCCCAAAAATTTAGAACGTGATACTCAACATTTTTATAAACAATATTCGGAAGATGATGATTTTGACGGTGTGACACTCGAAGAACTCCCAGAGTTGGAAAAGTTGTTCGAGCTGAACATTTACGTGTATCGCCTTACAGAACTACATGAGGAAGATGACGACACGACCTCCATTGTGGCTCAACTCATACAGCGCTCCCACCGTAGCTACTCCAATTCGTTGTATCTGAACCTCTACGGTAGTCACTTCAGCTATATTAAGAATTTAGATACATACCTTGACCGTTCCGATTATGAGTATTGCGAGATGGATACAGACAGTGCCTATATCGCTATTAGTGGTGAAAGTGTTGAAGAATTGGTCAAGCCTGGTTTAAGAGAGGCGTTTGAGAACGATAAATGTAACTGGTCTCCTCGTTCCGATACAACGGAACATGCGAAATACGACAGGAGAAAACCGGGATTGTTTAAAGTGGAATGGGAATGGGAAGGGGATGGAATTGTATCTTTATGTACGTAGTAAGACGTATTATTGTTTTGGGGAGAAAGATAAATATAGTTGCAAAGGTGTAAATAAGAAAAATAATGTAATTAATAAAGATAAATATTTAGATGTGCTTTTAAGTAAACGTAGTAGGTCGGGTGTAAATAGGGGTTTTAGGGTTTTAAATAATACTATGTGTACATATGTTCAAGTTAAAAACGCTTTAGTTATTTTTATCCAAAACGTAAAGTTTTGGAGGACGGTGTGTCAACAATTCCTTTAGATATTTAGTTTGTAAATAGTCAATATATATTTTTTCAAAAACTTGTTGTGTATTTCTCTCGGGCAAACCCCCTCTCCCATGGAGAGTTTCAGGGACAAAAGAAGTCCCGCACGGGACAAACAGTCCCGCAGGGACACTTTGAGCGTTTCCGGGACTTCCGGGAAAAAAAAGTCCCGTGCGGGACATTTATATAAGAGATGGGAGTCAGGTAAGGTCTTCATTCTACATCATGCCTCGAAAGCGTAAAGACGGACCGATTTGTGGCAAGAAAAATTTGTTGAAATTATCTAACCATTTAGCAGGTGTTCATGAACTTTCCACCGCACAAAGACAACCTTTGCTTATACGTGCCAAATGTGCACCTTTGGACTTGGAAGTAGTTTTAACTGAATTGTATAGACTCATTGGACGCATGATATAAATAGTGACGACCAAAATATATGATTTCATTTTCAACATGTACTCCATACAGTTAACACACCCGTTTGGCCTTCTCGTGTCTGGGAGCACAAAGTCAGGCAAAACTACATTTGTGAAAAAACTTTTGAGTTATGTTAATGTCATGATAGACAAACCTCGAGAAAATATTGTGTATTTTTATGCTGAGTACTAAGATACGTTTGGAGAAATTCAAAATTTAGTGCCTGTAATAAAATTTGTAAAAGGTTTACCTCATGATATACTGGATAGTATTAATCCCGAAACACGCAATTTATATGTCATTGATGATTTCATGGGTGAGAAGGACGGAGTTATTTCAAAATTATTCACGAAAAAATCACATCATGGTAACCTGAGTGTGATCTACATTGTACAAAATTTATTTCATCATAGCAAAGAACACCGCACAATTTCTCTCAATGCAAGTTATTTATGTTTAACGAAAAAGTGCGAGACGCAAGTCAAATTATTCATCTCGCTAAACAACTGTATCCCAGTAACACCAAATTTTTTCAACAAGCCTATCAACTGGCAACCAAAGATCCCTATTCGTATCTATTTGTCGACCTAACTCCTACGTGTCCTGACAAGATACGGATTCGATCCGGGATCTTTCCAACAGATACGCACTATGTCTATCAACCCAGAGTATAAGAAAGTGGAACGTGTGTAAAATGTTCATTTGATCATGTCTGCTTGTATGAAGAGGAACTCCGAACTTCTGAAACTATTGGCCAAGTGTAAACCTGAACTGACAAAAGCTATTTTGAAAGCGGCTGAAGACGATATGTTTGAAGCTATAAGACAGTGTCTATTAAACGTTTGGTTTGACACGATTAAACTGAAACTGAAAACAGCTAAAAAACTTGCACCACATTCCAAGCATATAAAGTTTGCGGCTGACAAACGAAATCCTATCGTAAAAAGAAGAAACCGTCTAGTTCAAAAAGGGGAGAGTTTTCTACCGTTTCTACTCACTTCAGTTTTGGAACAGTTGGCTAACTTTTTATAATGGAGCACGTCAAGCGATTAGTACTTGTCCCTGAACATATGGCTGAACAGCGAAAGAAACCTCTCGCGGCCCCTTTGGCGACACAGGTCAACGAAATAGACTCGGACATGCAATATATTATTCGACGACAAGATATACCAATCGATGAAAAGGCAAAGTTATACGACCAGAATCTGCAACGCTATTTAACCTTTTATGATAAACGAATGAATAAACCTCTTCTAGTGAACGTGATGCACACCGATCAAGCTGTAGAACCTCAAGGAGAACAGCCCAGTGAAGAGCCGGAACCCTCAGACGAGATTGAAACAGATATCATGGATAGTGTACCAGCTACTATGAAGTCAAGAGCTCGACAACTCATCAAAAAAACTCAAGTCAAATAAGGATCTTATTGGTTGGAATGAACAAGGCCAGATGGTGTTCAAAGGAAGATTGGTTCCTAGGACAAATATAGTTGATTTAGTGAATGATTCTCTACGTCAAAGGAAGAATTTCAACCCCGACGGCTGCGAATTGTTTTCAAAAGTTCTCGGACATTTGAATGTACCCGAAGGTATTGTGAGAAACGAAAACCGTCTTGGAATTGTTCGCGAATATAAAACCAAAGGTATCCCAGAAAATCTACCCACCACCCTTCGAGTGCAGCAAGAAAAGAGGAAAAAACGCAGAGACAATATTAGTAGTCCATATAAATGGTTAAAATGATTTATTTCTTGTAAGAGAAAATTTTACAATAAATCTATTTAAAACTAAATCTAGTGTTTGTACCACTTGTCTATAAAATCACGGACAAGCTCATCATTCCATTCTTTGCTATCCGTAAACATATTTGCAATGGTTGACATTGGAATACGTCTACATCGATGTAAAGCAAAGAATAATGAATATTGTCCACACACGTCTGATGAAGGGGCTTGCAAAATTCTTCTGTTCCATGTAAATGTGCCGCAATGTTTGTCCAAAAATTGAGTAAAGTTCTGATTGTAAAATCCAGGAGCCTGGCCATACGAATCCCAAAATTCCCCTTTGCCATCTTCTGCAAGGTACATTGCAATCCAGTGTGATCCAGGCATATCGGATGCGTCCGTGTTAAGTATATACCCTCTAGGCCTCGTTCTTATTTCGCGAGGTAAACGATCTGATGGTAAAACGTCCGTAAAATGGATCATTCTTGAGAATGTTCATAATCTGCAGCGAGTTTATCTTCAGTTGTTGAAATCACACAGCACGTTCCGATTGTTCCTTCCAGTTCTTAACCGTCATAATCTACAATCCTGTAAACAGGCGGTCGTCGAGGTACGCGTTTCGTTACCGTGAACACTTCTTCAGTCCAATTGGGTAAGTATCCTTTCTTAAATGTTCGCTTTGCTTTGCTAATCCGGACTTGGTCGCCAATGTTAAACTTAAACTGGATTGATTTTTTCGACTCCTTCCCGTAGAGTGTTTGCCACACAATATTCTCGTTACTTTTATTCACATCTACCGGTCTCATACCAATACTACGATGTCGCGAGTGATTATAAGATTTGACCAGTTTCTGGAGAATGTCCACGTACTTGAGTGTATTGTTCGCTGTAAAGTATTTCCACATTTTCGTCTGGAGCGTGCGATTAAACCTTTCAACAATCGATGCCTTGGTTTCGTTGTACGTCGTAAAAAATCGAATGCCATGTTTATTCAAAAAGGTTTGAAACTGTCTATTGATAAACTCCGTCCCCTTATCAATGTGAAACATTTTCGGTTTACGGCCTTTCTTGATTATTTTCTCAAAGGCTTTGACAAGATTGTTCCCAGTTTTTGCTTTTATCACTTCAACCCAATCAATAACAGTTAAAACGTACTTCAACTTCAACCCCATCAATAACAGTTAAAACGTACTTGTACCCATTATTCTGTTGACTTAATGAATCCATACTTTTAATATTATATTATTTGAATTGTAACTAGGGACCTTAAACAAAAGCCTTATGGTTTCTAGAAGGTTCCTAGCCCTACTATTGTAAATATTTTCTATTTAAATTGTTAATTTTATAAACTGATTTGGGCGAATATATTAAATAAATAAATTCAATAAATAAATAATGACTAAATCTGCCTCCCACTCATCATCCATGGCTCCAACTATAACACGGTTACGCCTGAAGCGATATCTCACAGGTTTATGCAATCTATAGGCATCTTGCTTTTGTAACCACTGGCGTATTTTATTCCGCGATATGTCATACTTCCCTTCGTTTTTCACGGCGCGATAAATGGAATCTACGGCACCAAAACTTGCGGGGCTTTCTGGATCGAAATAGATCTGGCTTAGATATTTCTCCGCCATCGATGTGTGAGGTTTGAATTACAATTTTTCCAACACAGCAAGCAGATATACAGCGTACTTTTCGAAAAATGTTTCGAAGAGAGATTTGTGGTAAACCTTTACAGCAAGGCATCCTTACTCTTCAGAGGTTTGAACAAAATGAAGCAGCCAGTAATTATAGACTGATATATAAAGCTATCAGTGTGAGTGAGAGTGTTATTAAAATTGGACGTTTACTTCGTTTATGTTTGGGAATAGTAAAAATTCGACATGCCTCGATGGTTTTTTGTACATTGTGACGAATAGATTCCTCGCTATCATTTTGTACACATACCAAAGCTAAATAGGCAATAATACAACCAAAGTTTGTTACATTGATCTCTCTGTAGATTTGGTCAAGGTTTAGAACACGAGCATTCACTGGACGATTTAGATCTCGATGGCGGGCGAGAATAGTATTTATATGAAACGATAAAGTTTGCTTATCAATATCAATTTCATTTCGTTTCAACTCATCAAAAATTATATCTATGTTATCCATGATACTCTCACCACAACGATTGAACAACAAATGAGACACACAGTATTTATTTCAGTAAATATATGCAAATTTACATTAATTAACTAGCAACGTATTATTATTACAAGAGGTCTATTTTATCAAGTTCACTTGTTAAACCAAATTTACGAAATTCATCATAGGCCTCATTAGTGTTAGATTTAGAACTATTAAATGTCTCTCCTGTTTCTTCAATCATGTACTAGTATTGTCATACATGTCCAATACCTATGCAAGATGTCCAATGGAATAATCAAAAGGCCATTGGACATTCCAGGCCATTGGACTTGTCAAATGGATCAAATGGACCTCCAATTTTCCATTGGACTTTTGCGTGTCCATTGGATCCAATGGACAAATGGAATGTCCATTGGCCAGCAATGGATCAACTATCGGAACTATGCATCACCCGAATAACAGACAATGTGAAGGTTGCCGATCGGAACAATGCATCAACCGGATAAGAGCATCCGCGTTTTTACCATTACGTAATTAACAGGTTGCAAGACTCCATGTGGACATGATTATGAAACCAGAGAGATGTTCCAATTGTCCAATGGATCCAATGGATCCAATGGACCAATTATTGTCCAATAGAATTTTACCTGTCCATTGGATCCAATGGACAAAATAGCCTTTCCATTGGAAAATTACCTGTCAATTGGTCCAATGGGAAAATAATATGGAAGTCAATAGACATTTCTTATATCAATAATATAACAATATGTTATTGCTTCGTTCTTAAAAACTCACGCAATATATCATATAGCAATATATAATATGTTGTTGTTTGTTTCTTAAATTAAGAAACCTACACGCAATATATCAATATAATATGTTGTTGCTTCGTTCTCAAGAGACCACATTTATATAACGCGGAAAGGAAAGATCCTTATATCAATCATGATATAACATGTTGTAATTGCTTCGTTCTTAAGAAATCACGCAATATATCAATATAATATGTTGTGAACGTTCGCTTAAGAAACGTTCCTTTGTTCTCAAGAGACGCGCAATATATCAATATAATTTTCCTTCGTTCTCAAGAGACCACATACATGGCACGGGAACGGGAAGATCCTTATATCAATAATATAATATATTGTTGCTTCGTTCTTAAGTCAAGAATTAACTCACGCACTATATCAACATAATTTTGCTTCGTTCTCATGGGACCATGCATGCGTACATAACACGGGAACGGGAAGATCCTTATATGAATAAATGAATATAATATATAATGTTGTTGCTTCATTCTTAAGAACTAACGCAATATATCATATAGCAATATAATATGTTGTTCTTTCCTTCTTAAATTAAGAAACCTACACGCAATATATCAATATAATATGTTGTTCCTTCCTTCTCAAGAGATCAACTGCATCCAATGGAAAAATAATATGCAAGTCAATAGACATTTCTTATATCAATAATATAACAATATGTTGTTGCTTCGTTCTTAAGAACTCGCGCAATATATCAACGTAATTTTGCTTCTTTGTCAAGAGACCACACGCGTACACAGCAAAAAATCATTTTCTTATTAAGAAAAAAATTTCTTAATTTAAGAAAAAAAATCTTAAAATAAGAAAATAATTTTCTTAGTAAGAAAAAAAATTCTTGAAATAAGAAATTTTTGAATCCCAAGATATCTTTTTCTTAAAATAAGAAAAAAAATTCTTAATAAGAAAACATTTTCTTACAATAAGAAAATTCGATTTTCTTACTTTCTTAATGAGAAAACATTTTCTTAAAATAAGAAAATACGATTTTCTTACTTTAAGAATATGTTCGTAAGACAAGAAATGAAATTCTTAAAATACAAAATTATAAAATAGTAAGACATTATTACTTAAATTTTCGAAGCAAGAAAATGTAAAATCCTAGTGTTATAGGACAACTTATATCTTAACAAGACTTAGAACAACGTATATCTTATTGCGTCAGGTAAATTTGTAGTTTTTATTTCGAATTGAAGAGACTATATGACCGGCAGCTCACGGTTGATCAAATACTAAATGGACGGCAGTACATTGACTATATAGTTAAAGTTGAATCTTCAGTATGAGATAGATAAACCGATCCCTAATCCCAAACCCTTCTCTAACCCTAACCCCTAACCCTATAACCTTTTGAGAGTTTGACCGGCTGCCGGTAATATAGTCACTTTGTTCTTATTTCGTTTCCAAAATTTGAGCTCGTTTCAGTTTTATTGAATCGTTGAAGAGAATTTTTGCCTCCGGAATTTTTATCCAAGCAGGAATAGTTCGCCATAGTTCGCGTATTCACTAAACGCCTGGTACCTAGTTTACCTTTTAGAACGCGGAGCATCGCGGGATAGCGTCGTTTTACATTTTTATGAAAAATTTTATATAAATATCCATGGCATTAAAAAGGCGCCTTCAAGGCAATTTAAATGGCAAATAACGATGGGAAAAGCATCAGAAAGTCCTTGAAATGTTGCTCAGATACCACAGGTAAGACTATTTGTATATTTGACTTGTTATTTAAACAGATTCATTGCGAAATAATGTAGTGATTATGACTGTTTACTTGAGCGAAGTGTGAAAATATTCCATTGAATGTTTGAATTTGCCGCGTTCGTTTTGCATATAAAACATGCAAATGTTGCTTTCAGGCAAGGGACGAAAGATTAAAATATAAATTCATATCTATTATTGTGAATTCCATTCTAATTTACGCACTAATATTAACAATTTGACAATATTAAATTGCCTTTGACATTGGCACTTTGCTAGACCTTTCAAATGTCAAGACTAAAGGCTATATAGTGATATGAAATAAGATATTATACATACGGATGTTTTTGAAGATCTGTTAGCATTTTAATACTTGAATAAAGATTGGAATTACAGGAGAATGACAGCATTTAATCTGATATTTTCAGTGTATAGATAGCTGAATAACTGAATTGCAGCCTACTTTATTGTTTACTCTGTCTAATGTAGGATTTTCCTACTTGCCTTGCCGGGTAACTTGGCTACTGTAGAGAATGTTTAGTTTTCCCGACTTACTATACTTCACCAGGGAAACTCTGCAACCCTAGATAGAATGTATATGCCTTTCATTTAAAATAATAGCCCAAAAATACATACAAATCATTAGGTATGTTTATAGCTTTCCTCTATTTCTAGCAGCTTATTCTTGCCTATTTTGTAATCATGTTTTTTAAACCTTTTGAATGATCCAAATTGTGTTTGTATTTTGTCATTGCGCAGCAATAATGGGTAACTTGATTTCATATAAATAGACTGCTTTTTTGTCCTGCCTGAGTGAGTAACTCACCTTGCCGGGTAACTCGCCTACTGATGTACTGATATCCATATTGGTGTATCAGTCATCTTTGAATTTCGTGAAATGACATGTATTATTGGTATCGGCAAAGTATTGGTCTTTTATTATCAGTTATCAGAATATCTGTGAATTTCCATATATCGGTGCATCACTATACAGTTCAAGATTGTGTTTATATGAGAAAATGCCATCCTGCTCGCCGGGACAATTTTGTTATGTTGACATTGTTTTGACAGTTGTTAAAAATAGCTTGCAGCTCGGCATCTTTGAACATTCATCCTGGCCCAGCCTGCTTGTGAGTGTATATGTGGAGAAATTTTCATCCCAATAAGCAACATTGTGGCATCAGAGCCAGCCTGCTTGTGGATCCATATAAACACATGATAATTTTTTCTAGATAAATATACCTAATGCAGTAAGATCTTGCTTACCGGGCTGTCCCGCTAAGCGGTCCAGCCCAGCTTCCATATAAATACATTGTACAGCTGGTTTAAAGAACCATGAACAGCAACCGGAAGTAAACTATACTGTCAGTAACTGTGTGATATGGTATTGGACAAATTATTACATTTCTTAATATGCAGCTTTGGTGCATGAATAAGGGATAATAGTCTACTGGGCACTTGCCACAAGAAAATGATAACTGAATCCAGGACATCTGTATCTGCCTACAGCCATGTCTCTGCTTAATAAAATTTATATAAAACATATGTAGTTTAATACTCCCTCTTTCGTCTTCTACCAATATGAACAGGTGATTGGCCGATTATAACATTAAACAATAAACCCTTTGTATTAGATAAGAATGATATTATATTATAAATAATATTAAATTAATTATATTAATGAATTATATTATAAATGAATTATATTATAAATAATAAGTCATAAAATTAATACTCGTCTATCTTTTTAACATAGACAGATTTTCATATTTTTTACTGTGGTGCATGGTGCCAGAAATTTTAGGGGGGGGGGGTGAGCCGTGAGCAGGTGACTGAAGCATCACAAAGTGTCACCATACCCCAGTAAGGTCTATATTCTAGAGGTGGAGCACTAGAGATGTGAGGGGGAGTCTAGAGAGCAGAAAACAAAGTATCCCTGGAGAAATTTAAAAAAAATCATGATTCCTAGCTTTGAAAAAGTTTTTTGAAGTGGTCATATCAATGGATTTGGCATGTCCGATTGTCTGATGAGACTTGGGAGTGTTAAACGTAAAATGAACCTAATAGGCCAATAATTTTACCAGTTTTATAAAGTCATTGACATTGTGTCGTTTGAATCCGAATACATTTTATGATGCAACTCCGATGTAAATAATAATTGGGGCATAAAGATTAAATCTAGGCAAGTCTATTTTCTAAAAGCATTAAAAACTAAAAATAATGTTCGTAAAAAATCCAAATGTTCCTTCCGAGCAAGCTATTTGCATGAGAAGGCACTGCAAACTCTATTCAGGGGAGATAATAGAGTTTCAAAACTTTACAATTGCTCCAATAAACCAGTGAATGCACTGTCTTTTTCTATTTGAGTGTACTCCTACGTTTATTTTATATCATCAACACTCTGCGTGTTGGAGTGGACTATTTAATTATTTTTTATTATGCCAAATGTTGGGGGGGGGTGGGGTGTTGAAATAGTTTTTTGGAGGGGTGGTCATTTTGTTTGGGGGAGGAGTTATAGATAATATTAGGGGGGGGTAGCACCCCCCCACACAAAATCCGTCTATGCTTTTTAATGTAGTTAACTTAGGTAACTGAGGAGTGCATGATTCAGATTAGCAAGCAAGTCTCCAGGTCTATTGTTCTTGCAATTTTGTATATATATAGCTATTTCAATTAAGGTTGTCCCCCAAGCAAAGCAGAAAAGTCGAATACAAGCACGAAAGGCTGCTGAAAATCGCTAATAAATTCATTTATATTTCTGTATACACCACATATAATACTTAGAGTGATGCTTACATTCTCAATATGTAAGTAAACTTTTACAGATTACTAGCTGTATAAGGATGTATATATGATGGATCTCCAGTGGCATTTGCATGATGTGTTTGGAACAGTGTTTAATGTGCATTATAAAGAAATCTATGGACTTTGAACAAACGGTTTGTCAGATAATATTGCTTGTCATGTGGAAAGAGTTGAAAAATTACTGCTTCAGGTCTTCAGGAGAACTTAAATTTGCTACAACACATTCCTGTGCAATCAGAACTACACCTAGTTGTGTAACAGTGCAGCTGAAAAAAGAACTTGTATAAATTGACAATAATTTGATGTTTTGTATGTTACTCTAAGTGTATATCCACACCGGGCAGGCTAAAAAGTTAGCCTGACCATGGTGGGAATCGAACCCTCAACCTTTGGGACACTAGTCCAATGCTCTGCTAACTGCATAATACACTCAGAGTAACATCAAAAACAATATTCACCTGAGTACCTGTACATATAAACACCCAAACAACACATTCTTAATAAGAAAATTCTTTTTAAAAAAAAATTCTTGATTTGAGAAATTATTTTCTTAAAATAAGAAATTATTTTCTTATTTTAAGAAAATTTTCTTATTTCAAGAATTTTTTTTCTTGGGAGAATAACAAGAAAATTTTCTTAATAAGAAAATTCATTTTAAGAAAAATTTCTTGTTTTGAGAAATTATTTTCTTAAAATAAGAAATTATTTTCTTATTTTAAGAAAATTTTCTTATTTCAAGAATTTTTTTTCTTGGGAGAATAACAAGAAAATTTTCTTAATAAGAAAATTCTTTTTAAGAAAAATTTCTTGTTTTGAGAAATTATTTTCTTAAAATAAGAAATTATTTTCTTATTTTAAGAAAATTTTCTTATTTCAAGAAAACTTTTTTCTTGGGAGAATAACAAGAAAATTTTCTTATTAAGAAAAAAAATGTCTTGATTTGAGAAAATATTTTCTTAAAATAAGAAAATATTTTCTCAATTTAAGAATTTTCTCTCAAGAAAATTTTCTTAATAAGAAAATTTTCTAAAGAAAATTTTTCTTATTAAGAAAATTTTCTTGTTATTCTCCCAAGAAAATATTTTCTTATTTCAAGAAAATTTTCTTAAAACAAGTTTTTTTTTTCTTAAAATAAGAAAATGATTTTTTGCTGTGTAGATAGATTATATCTATATATAATCTATCTATATATATATAATCTATCTATATATATATAATCTATCTATATATATATCTATATAATATATATTATATATATATATCTATATATATATATATATATATATATATATATATATATATATATATATATATATATATATATATATATATATATATATATATATATATATATAAGATAAGATAAGATAAGATAAGATGATGTTTAATAGCACAAATTCGCACATAAAGTGAAGTACAAATTGCTTACATTAAAATACTATAATAATATAAGATTATTTACAATGGTTGTTAGAACAAAGTTAAAATCAAGTCTCACCAGTCACTATTTACTATTAGCGATATTAATTGTATTTGGGAAAAAGCTATTTTTAAACCGATCGGTTCGACATTTATAAGTTGATAAATTATTTAATGATCTAATAAAATAATTATGCTCGTTCGATCTAGTCCGTGTCACGTGTTGTGTAAGCGGACCACCTCTGGTTATCTTCGTGAGTGTCTTCAAACATAGGTCTTCACGTCTAGTCTCCAATTTGGTGATACCAGCCGACAGCAAAGCATCTTTGTAAGTTTGTTCAGGGTATACAATACGCAAGGCTCGCTTTTGGATTTTTTCAAGTTTGTCAGATAAATAGCATGAGATAGAGTTGTGCCAAACTTCACAAGAGTATTCAAGGATTGAGCGTATTAACGCAATATACACAGTGAGAAGGTCTGCAGGAGGAATACCACTTCGGCGCAACACCCGGAGGATATGCAATCGTTTGGATGCCTTCGAGACTATTTCATGGATATGTTCATCCCATTTCAGGTTGTTTTGGATCGTGAGTCCCAGTACTTTATGTGAACGCACTGTCTCAATTGGGTGTCCATCGATTACCAGAGGCATTAATTGGGGGGTTTCTCCAAGGAAACTAACACGAAGCTCTTTGCATTTTTTTATATTAAGTTTCATCCAATTATCGGAAGCCCACAACTGAACTGAATTAAGGGTTGATTGAGTGATAGAGGTGCAATTTCTGCTAAGACTCTCAGAGGTTGAAACGTCGTCTACGTATTTCCACATTCTAGTGTCGGGAGAAGTGATTCGCAGGTTATTGACCATTACTAGGAACAAGATTGGACCTAGTTTTGTCCCCTGAGGAACACCTGCATTCACTGGTAGCCAGTCGGAGGTTGCTCCGTCAAATTTAACTCGCTGCCTTCGATTTGAGAGGAAGTTGATGATCCAAGGGATTAATGAGCGTCTAGCACCCAAATTTATCAGTTTCTCAATTAATAGATTATAACCTATGCGGTCGAAGGCCTTGGAAAAGTCTAGGAAACAAATACGCAGATGATTACCGAGTCCGTCAAGGTGGGAAAGCCAAGTATGTAACATATCCAGAAGGCAAAAAGTGGTGGATGTCCCTTTCAGGCAACCAAATTGGCTGGGGTCGATTTTTTCTTTTACATCCTCAATCAGCCAAGATACTACAAAATCCTCTAAAACTTTAGACAAGCACGATGTTAGTGATATAGGCCTAGTGTCGGCTTCAGCAATCGGTTTACATGTTTTAGGGATTGGGACTATGTTCGATTCCTTCCAACTACTCGGCACAACTCCTGAAGCAAGGGATGTATTAAAAATAATGGTGATCGGCTCAGCTAGCACGTGAGCATACTCCTTTAAAATTCGAGGTGAAATATTGTCAGGTCCGGGGGCTTTAAAAGAATGGACAGTTTGGAGTTTCTTACAGACTTGGTAACATTCAACTGCAGGTACACTTTCATTTGATGGTAAAAAAGGTGGTAATAAGTTCACATCTAATGGCGGAATATCAGCGTTAACGGAAGTATAGAATTCGTTAAGGGCATTGGAAGCTTGTAAATTGTTTAGGATTTCACCATCGCGTTCTAAGGTGAAAGGCTTTGTTGTTTCCGGTTTGCCAGACATTTTGTTAATGATTTTCCACCACTTACGACTATCGCTGTTTTTTAAATGCTGAACTTTGTTTTTATAAAATGATTTCTTTCTTTGCTTAATCTCCTCTTGGACTTTATATCTTAAAGATTTCCATAGGGGGATATTATGGTTATGGAATGCTTTCTGTCGGTCTTTAATCAGTTTTTTAATACTTGGGGTTATCCAAGGTTTATCGGTTTGATGCCACTTCACAGTTATAGGAGGGAATATACGATTAATGGCTTCTGTAAGGTGCGATGAGAATGATGATGTTAAATCGTCTACCGTTTGATTAGTCCCTAACTCGCCAAACCAGACATGTGTAGCGATCCATCTCCCCAAAGCTTCAACCCCAGACCTTGGATAGCGCCGGATGCGACGTTTGACAGATTTCGTACGTTCTTGAGAATTGGTATTCTCTAGACTGGGTGACCATGTTACAATGTTATGGTCTGAGGACCCTAAGGGCGCTAAAACTTGGGGAGGTTCATACAGGTTTGGTTGGTTCGTAATTATCAGATCCAAAATGACTGTACCTCTTGTAGGGACTTTGACAACTTGCTTCAGGTTATGGCTTGATAATATATTCGATATATCGAAATCGTTAAAATCACCAAGAAGGACTAGACCACAGTTGGGATGTTGGTTGCGTAATGAATCTATTGTTAAAACTAAGTATTCATTAAGTTGGCGGTGGTTTTCTACAGGTAAACCAGGGGGGTGATAGACTATGGACACTGCAATACCAGAGAGCGGTCTGGGAAGGCGGGTAGGGCGAAGCCACAGCCACAGACATTCTAAATTTTCATGTTCCAAGTCCAACCTACGTTTGGCATAGGTGCCCTGTGGTAGATAAACACAAATTCCTCCTCCACGACGGCCAGAACGGTCTTTACGAAAAATGTTATATCCGTTTATCGAAACGAGTCCATCCTCGATGTCATAGCCTGCGGTGCAGACGCTTCGTATTTCATGATGAAAGGGTTTAAGCGTCTGCGTAATGGAGGGATCAAGCTTGTTCAGTCACGTGGATGTTCCCAAAATCGTGGGAATCGAATGTGATTGGTTAGTTGTTAATTTATGCAATATAATGTTAATTATCCCAAATTAGCGCGAGCAAGACATAATACATGTAAAACATGGCGTTTGCCGAGGAGGCAAAGTTAGAAGGAGAATGTTTTCAGGATGCTTTACGACATGTTTGTTATGAAGAGCACGGTGTCGAACTTGACGTTGGTTTAAAACATTTAGCTGTGACTTCTCGTTCGCAATCGATACGTTCATTAAACGGGGTCGACGGATCGTCGCTTTTATCAAACGACAACGAACGTTTCGCAGTTGATTTTGTTTTAATCGCGAGTCCCCTTTCTCCAGCCTTTTCGCGGTATTTACGCAGAAGATTGTTCTCCAAATCGTCAACCTTATTCTTGTGATAATTTTCGTCTTTGCTGCAGAGTCCTGAAGCACGCACGACAGATATGCTGCGAAGTGAGGTGAACAACAAAATAAAGGTCTTGAATCTCGCTTTTTACTGAAAATTCCCCCTTATTTTCGACTAAATTTCTATCACAAGCTTTCGTTAACAACGAGAAACACAAAACGCACGATAAAGACGCCATGAATAATTATAGCTATTAAAAATATTTGCGCTAATTAATATTTTAATTGTGCATAACATCCACGTGACGGAACAAGCTTGATCCCTCCATTACGCAGACGCTTAAACCCTTTCATCATGAAATACGAAGCGTCTGCACCGCAGGCTACGATGTCACTGTTCAACCACGATTCAGTGACCGCCACTACACTGGGTTGGCGACGACTTAAAAACAGGGTGAGTTCATCTATTTTTGGAAGCAGCGATCTGGCATTAATACAGCAGAAATTAGGTAAATGTGACTTTGAGGACTTTGTAATACAGGCATTAGGTTTGTGTATGACAATATTTTTCAGATTTAGTATATTAGAGCCACAAGGTCTATGGTGATTTTGGTAAGTTGTAAAAAATGGTTGGGATTTCCGTGCAGTAATTCGTGTAGAAATAGACATAGTTGTCACATTTCCTACCTCTTGCACAGTTGGTGTACAAAGTCCAAATGGCTCAGCCATTCAAGGGATTGGTGGCGATGGCCCGTTCGATAGGGTGGTGGTTTCATTCGGTTGGGCTTGGGAAAAGGAGGTTTGTTCGAGGTATTTCCATTAATATATTGGTTATTTTTCGCTTGGATGGGTATATCTATTGGGAGTTAGGTAACATCGAGTTGGAATCGAGTTCGAGTTCGAGTTGGACTTCGAGTTGGACTTCGAGTTAATTTAAACTTCGAGTTGGATATTTTTCTTTACTTTTCGGGAAAATGAAAATTGTATTTCACCCAACCTTTTTTGCTGCGGAGCGAGCGAGTCTGACGCAAATTTACACATATGGGGGAATTTTATCTTAAACCATTGTTTACCGCAACTGCATGCATGCCTACATTGTGGTCGTGCGCGATCGGAAATGCTCAGTAACCTTTTTGTCGGTTGGGGCCACAACACCTTGTGGTCAGGGGCGTACATATTGATTTTGAATAGGGGGGTGTAATCACGAAATGAGACCGACCCACCGCTGAAATGTGAATCCAGACCGACTCTTGGTGAGTTGGTGTGTTGCAATAAAATTGAGCACAAAGCATGGAAATTCATGTCATTTATTAGGAATTTTGCAAGAATACGTACAGTTTGCTGTAAGACATCGTATTTTTCATTAATTGTCCGCGCTTTGTCAGTTTTGACCCCGGATTAGCGATTTCGTCGAGATCGATCGTGTCTGTTAGATCGCGCTCACACGCAAGAGTCAAGAGTTCACCGAGGCGTTCCTGATTCCGATTAATGAACGCTTAACAGTTTTCAATAATTTCAGCTTTGAAATGCTGCGCTCGGCAGATGCGAATGTTACAGGAACTGTCAGGCACGTAACTAGGATTTTTGATTGACCAAGACACTTCTCGGGTGGGGGGGAGATCTGGGGGCATGCTCCCCCAGAAAATTTTTGATTTTCTAAGGCTTAGAAGCACTATTTCCTGCACTCTGGGAGCAGTTCAAACGAAAAATCAAATTCATAAACAGTGACACAATCGAACTATAATTTTATATTGTAGTTTGCCCTGAATCCGTGCCCCAATTCTTGGTCGAACATGATCAGATGCATAATAAAAACGTGTTTGTGCCCAATTGTTGTAATATTTGGGGCGCTGGCCCGCACTTCTATTATTGGGCCAGGCTCCCACTTCTTACGTCACTGTAGGGCAAGAATTCTTCTTCACATGGAGAGAACTACAGTCTGTCATTAAATTTGATTTAAATTTTTCACGAATATTCTTACCAAGTTACCGACTCGATTGAATCGTACCTAGTTACGGGCCTGACTGTAAGCAATCATTGGAAATATCGCCTAGTCAGTGAAAAAAATGTTTCGCTCCGTGTTTTCAGATAAACCAGGGCGTCGTTCACTGATCAAATTTCTTGATTGCAGTAGGCATATAAAGCTCTTCGGTCGGCAAAAGGCATATGTATATCGTGCTACATGTGAATATTTGTGAACATAGTATATAACTCGGCTAAAAATTTGCTTTTGCACTTTGCATGTTACTGATATAGTTTAGGGACCGGGGAAATTTTGTAACTAATGTAAAGCTATTTTGATTGATATTCATCGTATT